TCTCATTTGCATATTCATGTTTATTGTGTTGATTTTATCTTTTTGAATTATAATGGCAACAAGCTATTGAAGAGGGAGGATTGCATATTGCGGATCAGTATTATCCTCTTATATTTGGATGATATTTGGGATTTCTTTCTCTTTATCTCATATGCTCTCTCTCTCTTTCTCTCTCTCTCTCTCTCTTCCCTTTTAACTTCTTTTTCTTTTTCCCATTCCTCCTTGCCTCTCGTTTTGACCACAAATCCGGTTTTCGAATATTCTGCGTTCTCCCCTCCGTTCCTCATCATTCATCATTCCATACTTTTAACCTCTATATTTCACAATTTTATTTCGGATAGCCTGAGGGAATTCATTTCAATGAACTGTCTTCATCTTCTTCTTCTTCACATCATCTTCCGATTAATTCATCCATCTTCAATATAAATCAGATGATCCTTCCTCATCGTTGTCACATTTTTTCGTCTTCACACTCGCGCACACGCAGGCACAGCCGCACTCACACGCATATCAACCACACATTCTCATCTATTTTCATTTCATTCATAAATTCGTTGTCAATTATAAAGTTGTTTTCGAACAGAAACACAAAAACCTTTTGCAAAACGTTATGAATGTGAAAAACGATCTGTTGACGTCAAATATCAACATTCGGCTACTCACATTCAGAAATAAACGATAAACTATAAAAACTTTTTTTTTGTTGTAAAATAAAGGAATTCAGCTGTGAATGAAAGAGAGAGAGAGAGATAGATAGATAGAGAGAGAGAGAGAAATTGGGATTTTCGTGAATTCGCTGGTTACCTCTTTCTCATTATTTTCGTCGTCCCCCATAGAAAGGTATTGCCGGCTCTTATCTTTACCCTTTTGTGATGAATGAATGTTAAGGTAAAGTGGAGATAGACGGTTTCTGGAGATAGACACAGATACGAGAGTGAGAGATAGTAGTTAAGAGAAAAATATAAACCACTGGCCGTATCCAAAACCTCATCTACAATATTCTCGCCATGAACGACAGATTGTAATCGTTTACTTCTTCATATGTCCATCTACCTACCTCATGTTTTTCTTTTAATGTCAAAAGAGATAGTTTATCTCTCCAGATAATTCTTTAGAAGGCAACAAAGACAGTCTTCTGTCCATAAATGGCCAGTTGGTTATTATAAACAAGATGCACAAGGTCAATATCGTAAATGATAAAATTAACCGCTAATTCAAAATAATTTATAGTAAAACAAGGATTTGAGAACGGAAGCAAGCTTGACTATCAAGGTTCTCCTTCCGTTTCTGACAAAAACTTTTTTTTTTATTGGAAAGTTACACTTTGTCGTTTTGTGGAGTGGTCATCGTCAGTCATTTGAACACTTTCTTTTGTTTTGCCCTCCCTTTCTCCTTATACTTCTCTCTCCTTAAATCGCATTTCCTTCTCTCGTTCTCTCTCTCTGTGACACTTGTTGATAAAACATCAAAAAAAGCAGAAAAGCAATTATCACTCTCTATATGCCAAAACGTTTCGTGTCTGTCGTGCCCACAGAACTTCAGCTTCTTCAAACGGAACTCAAACAGGTTTTAACCGATCGCCCTTCTGTTTTCATTTTGAGAAGAAGAAAAAGCAGACAAAAACTATAAATCAGTATTTCCTTCCTCCAATTCAAATAATAACGAAGACCGTGTGTTTCGTTTGAACGTCCGCCTCGACTCCAGAAGACCAGCATCACAAATTTGTTGACGTCAAACTGTCGGATAGTCGGAAACCAGGAGAGATAGATGAAGACGAAGAAGAAATTTCCGAGGAAAATTAAGAAATTGCAAAGAACCTCGAATGTTTTCTTTTAATATTTTCAAATTGAAATGCATCACTGACTCAGTGATTGAAAAGCCCGAACGACCGGGTATGTTTCTCATTATGTTCTCTCAACGTCTTCTCTCTTATTCAAATTTTCTCTACATTATAGTAGGATAGGTTGTGAACTTCTTAATCAGTTGGACGTCTTTATCAATCAACCAACTACTGTTTACTTTCGATCTATCTTTTATGCTTTTATCTTTTTATTATAATTGAATTATTTTGGCCCGGTCCATTGATATGAACAAACTTTGAGTACAAACCCTTTCAATTTTCTTTTTTTTCATTCGTCATATTGTTTCTCTGTCATTCACTTTACATCTCTCTCTATGCTCTATTCATTTCCTTATTGGTGGTCGGTCGGTTTTTTAAAAAATTGATTACAAATTTCTGAATTCAGAAGTACCTTTGAAATCGAACAACCTCTTGTTCCTTCTCTCCGCCCTCTCCAACCCAATTCTGATCATTCACATACAATACTCTCTCTCTTAGTCTTTTACCTTTTATAATTGAGAGAGAATATTAAAAAAAGCTGTTTTTTGCTTATTTTGCCAAACAAACACTTTTCTCTCTCTCAGTACCTTCTCCCTCTCTCTCTTATGTTTCTAAACAGCAGACTTGTCAACAAATTTTTCCAACTTTCGTTTGTATTGATGAAAAAAAAAAAAGAAACAAATTGACATCGGAACTGTCCAAAAAGCGAAACAGAGAAGTTCCAATAAGGTATTGTTTCATCAGTTATACCTTCTCTCCTTTCTTTCTCTCCTTTTAACATTTCTCTCTCTCTCTATCTATATTTCTCCATCTATATAGCATACTCTTTTGGTTGCTCCTTTCTTCATCTCTCTCTATCTCATATTTCTCTCATTCTATATGTCTATTGGCTTTGTATCTTCGCGTATCTCTCACACAATCCATTATATTTCAATTATTTGTTCGTCTATTTCTCCGTTTTCTCTTTCGCATCTAGCTGTCAAGGTGTGTAGGTGAGAGTCTAGTTAACGAATCACCATTTTTCCAGCTCACTCTCCGTCTGTGCGGTCAGTCTTCAGCGAATCCTTCGACGACAACGACAAAAGACTTTTCTAACATTTTTTAATTGTAATAATCCAATTACTTCTATAATTAATATATATACGTATATATATATACTATACTATATTAATTATATATCTCAAATGACTATCTGATCGACGTATTCCGAAAAGACATGAATGAAGAACGAACTGTAAGTTTCAAAATCCATTTTTCTCTTTTCTCTTTTTTTAATTTATTTAAAATGTTTTTACAAATTAACTTTAATGATTCGCCTTATTCTCTTACTAATAAGGTCATTGTCAAAGTTTTTTAAACGTTTTTATTATTTCTTCTTCGACCCCAATTTGTCTTTTTCTTGACTTCGCCCTATACACACGCTCATCATCATCATTCTCATCTCTTTCAAATTACATTTTTTAACAAACAAAAAAAAGGTTACGGAAAAAAGGGAAATCTCCTCATTTTCCCTCTCATTCATTCAATTCTCCCATTATGCTAATCACATTCTCTCTATCTATCTATCTCTCGTTGTCATTCTCATTCACTTGAACAATCCTTTTCATCATTGAGTTCTGCCCTGTTTCACCTCTCTTATCCACATAACAATTCTGGATTTAAGCTTCAACTCAATTTTGTGAGTCAAGACGACGGCATTTCTCTACTTCAAAAAAAAAAAAATTATTTGCATTGATTGAGTACAAGGTCAGATAAATAATTATCGTCCTCGCTCGTTTTCTCAACTCAATTTCTAATTCTTTTCATTTCCTTTTTTTTTAAATATTATTTATTATATTCACATAGCGACGAATACGTATATTTGATTCTGTCAACTAGACAACTGCTGCTCATCTTCAGACCGGTGAGACTTTGAAATCCGTTTTTGCTTTTCCTGTTTCCTGAAATAGGAAATACGAAAATTCCAGTTGCTTCTCAGCTTTTTTTTATTATCTTTCAAGGGTTTACCTCTCCAATAATTCAATTCGAGATCATCAAGTTCGTATTGTACTTGCTTGCAATTGAATTCTGTACACCTTTGCTGGACATGCAAGTTGACCTTGAAGCTTAAAAGCTTCTAATTCCAAGGTCAATCTTACAAAAAATAAATTATTTCAATATCTTATCAAAGTAGTACGGTGATTTTTAATTTTTTGTTGAACATCTGTTGTCGCTTTTCTATTTTTTGTTTAATCACATTACTGGCAAACACTGTAAAAAGTGAGTGTGAAGGAACCAGACAATATTTGTCTTTTTTATGTCATTCCCAAGCTTTTCCATCTCCAAAACGTTCGCATTTCATGAAAATCAGATAACGTTTGATGTGCCAGGCTGGAGCTTGAATAATTGAAAAGTATTTGAAACAGTTCTGCTGTATACGCATTTCATTTCACTCATTCTGCCATCATCGCTTATACATGAAAGCTGAAGCGGAACGATTTCAAACAGTTTTTGAGATGCTGGAAGAACAGATAACAATCTTGGAAACATAAAGTGAGAGAGAGATTGCTTGAATGTGTTAGAAGAGCGCTCTTTTTTGTACTCAAAAAGTGTATCTTCATACATACACACATTGCCTGAGGCAATTGCGAATTTTTAGTCAAAAATCACATTTAAGATGACCATACGGACGGAGATTTTTGAGAAAGAATGTTAAGAAGTGGGAGAGATCAATTGAGAGGCTCGCATCCAGCTGGTCATTTATTTATTTTCCTCAGTGCACACAATCATCACAAAAACTAACAAAAACCATGGAACGAGCTACTGAAGTCTTTCATTAATTCCATCGCCTTATCTTCCTTCCAAACAATCAACACACATAAACGAGAAACTGTAAATCATTGCTATTCCTTTATATGTATGTGTTGCCTTCATGATTCTCATTGACCTCTCAATCAGTTTGTGATGTAAGCATTTTCTAAATTTATTCTTTTCGTACAGTCTTCCACTTCATCTTTCTTATAGATTTCTCTTCATTTTCATCATTTTAATAGTTTTTCGAAGCATTGATAGACATTTGAAGATATTCAATTTACTTTCATATAATTCTTTTTATTATATTTTCCCCCATCTATTGAAGAACTGATATGAAAAAAAAGATTATTAAAGTGATAGCTATAAGTATTGAGAGCTTAAAACTGAGAAGAAGAAAAAGCTTTTTCAACCCTCTATGTACTTTTAGAATAGTATAGTATCAGTAAATCATTTGAAAACAACATCAGCTTTACGTTCTTGACTAAGAATTATCCATGCGTCTTATACGTGGCAACACGACAACACAACTTCACGTGAAAGTTCCACGTAAGCTTCACAACAGTCATATGGCTTTTGATTGACGCTGATGAACGGTTGTTTTCTTTTTTTTCCATGTTTCACACAGATTAAAGAGGAGAGAGTCGTGGAATCATTTCGTTTCTCTTTCTCCACCCCCCCCCCCCCCTGCCTTCATAGTCTCTCTCTCTCTCTCTCTCTCTATAT